TGTAAACTCTTCAGGGGATTGGTTGCAGGGACTAGTCTCCTCATGTGTGCTGACCTTTACTATTATTTTGAAGTTTGTTTGAGGTTTGAGTTCAAAAGGTAAGTACAGTGGAACCCAGAGTTATGACCACCTTGTTAATATGGCCACCTCGTTATAACTGTCGCTCTATTCTGGCCCAAACAAAAGCTTAGTCAGTCATTATTTTATTTAAAGAACCCCTTAAATACTGCCACCCCATTGACACAGCCAGACTTTTGTGGTCTGTTGGTAACCTGATTAATGAGATACCAGTGTATATGTAGCAATGAAAAAGACAATATGTAGCAGGACTTGAAAAAAACTTGTATTCCAGCTTGCTCTTGGGACAAGAAGCTTTAAAATTTTGCTTGCCCTGGGCAAGCCTTAGTTTGCTCTTTTAATGATTTAGTTGGCAGACAAAATGCCTGATCCCTTGCCCATTGGGTAAGTGAGAGTGAAAAGTTACTTGCCCAGAAGGAGAATCTGCTTGCCCCGGATGACCGGACGACACTTTTTTCAAGCCCTGTTGTAACCAAAACTCTTTTGAAGATCAAACTAAGTCAATTAGAGTTTCACACATTTGTACAGTATACATTCGTCACTGACTTTTACCACGTCGACTTCTGCATCCCTGCAATCAAACCTTTGTCGGCATAATGGCGGAACATAATTCTTGAAATACGGTATCTTCCCACAAGACCTCGCCCCCTGTCAGTCAAAACACAACGATTACGCACACGCGTGATCGAGCTGTCTCTTGGAAGGTTTTCCAAATCCTCAGCAGCTTTCTTTCGTACAGCAGAAGGTAATATGTCATTTTTCTTTACATATCTCAAGTTGCTTCGTTCCATTTCATGTTGCTCATACAGTGCTCTCCGCTTCATATCTCTTCTTCCCCATTTCTTCAGGTAATGATGTTTCAGATAAAATTTTTCCAAAGGTGTTGAGGTCTTAAATGATCTTGTCAATAGATCTTTATGTCAAAATACAAATACACAACATTATCATTAAATAAATGCAATGATGCCAGGGGGGGGCACTCCCACATGAAAAGGACAGGGATGCTCGTCAAAAATTTTGAAAAGAACCGCTAAGAGGTATCAAGATCCTGTTTTGTGGGTGTGGCTTGAAATTTTTTTCACCCCTAAAAGGTACCAATTCTAATAAAACACATTATCTTCTGTCATTTTTTTTTTTTGGCTCAATACCCTAAAAGGTACTGCAAAAGTTCCCATCATGGAGCTTTTGGAGCTAAAGACCCAAAGAGGTACCAAAACAACTTTTCAACCTCTAAAAGGTACGATGAGCACCCCTGTCATTTTGCATGGGAGTCCCCCCCGGGCAATGATCTTTTTATGGATGCCACAGGTTCACACAAAAACAGCACAACATAAATTGCTTTCTCACTTTCTCTCAAGCCATAGCTGGTAATATGTATTTTTCATCAAAATCCCTTAATTTCTGGACCTCTAAAAAACGTAAAAGTTCCTTTTAACTTCAAACTTGATGGCCTAGCTTTTGAAAATACCAGCATGGATAGACTGCTAGCAGTTTTGCATGGCGGCCGATCCATTGATTGCCTGATTATTTCAAGCAGCTAGGACAACTATTTTAATCATACAGGTCATCAATATGTATGAACTTACTCGGAAGGGTAGCTGATGGAATTAATCCATGAAAACTGTATAATATACTACCACCAACTGCACTAACATTGGTAAAACTTTGACGAAGCCACACCGCCATCTTGGTTACATTGAAATCGAGGCTATACTGCAGATTCTTTGGCAGTCAGCGGCTGTCTTCTGTAAAATAGAGAGAAACAGAAGTTTTCCAAAACAAAGAGTTCCCTGGTTTTCTGTTCTTCAATGTTATTTTGTTTGGACTGTATTATCGCTATTTTTCGACAACAGGACGTCAAAAAGAAAGAAATACTTGTTTGACAACGAAGCGAACAAGTAAGGGATGTGTGGAAAATGAAAGCTCATGGTCGACTGATTTTTGCCAGCCACCAGGTGACTTCATAGTTTATTACGCGGAGCTTGATCTTAAAGGTTTCGTTTTGTACTTTGGATAACTCTTCTAAGTTCTACATGTCCCAGAGAAACCCGCAAGACTTGTGGATATTAGCAACTGTTTTGTTTTTCTTTGGATTTATTTTGTCTTAATTTTACTTCGTTTCGGGATATCTACACTGATTTTAATTTACCAATGGGAAGTTCTACATCGAAATTTCGCAAATCCCTTCAACGCGGAGAAGGAGTCGAAGCCATGCACATTTATCTCAAGAACCCTGACATCAAGAGAAACCTTGACCCGAATTACAGCTTTGGAGTGCATCATGGTCACAATACAGCTCTCCATTTTGCCGCAATGCACGCCATGAAAGCATTTATACGTGAATTCTTGGAGGAAAGAGCGAACCCCAATATTCGAAATGGCGCTGGCCAGAATGCACTGCACTGTATTTGTTCAACCTACCGGCGCGGTGAGACATCGGTTGACAAAACCAGAGCAGAATGTTTGTCGAATCTACTGGCGTGGAATGCAAACCTCCAAGAGGGAACAGCGATTGAAATCGATGCTCGGGACGAGGTATGAGTTTTTAAGACCGTAATTTCATAACATAAATATGTACGCGAACGTAACTTCCGTTGAGTTAAGAGCTCTTTACTCCGATCAGTATCATGTGGCATCCTGTTATTACTTCCTGCAGCTCGTTTTTGTGGCTTGTTTTCTTCAAAAAGAAAGTCAAATGATATTGGTAATCATTTTAATTCTGGTTTTTAGCTGGAATCGCGAAACATATTTTTTAGAAGGTGCGAAGCATTTTAACAGATGAGCTCTAATAATGAAAGAAAGCTTTTACTGTTCTGAATAAGCTGCTGGCGTGCTGGTCTCCGCTTGACATTCTATGTTCATATTTTATGCTGTTATCAGTGATAACTTTTATACTTGAAAACAGCAGACATCTCTATGAGTAAACCTCATGACAGCTCTAATGAAACGTACAGGTGTTTGCGAATGCTAATTAATTTTAAAAGCGTGAATTGAAAGATTTCGAAAAATTTTCTTTTCCAACCAAAATAGAAATGCATTGTTTTCTCGCAATGAATTCATTCAAACATTGGGCAGTTGTGACCAAAGTACGCACATATCCGAGAGTGCTTTTAAGAGGGTGAATTAGTGATTGTTAGTAAATGAGGCTCCACATTTCTTTCGGATGTTAATTATGGTGCAAATAGGATACCAAATTTATAGAGAGCTTAAGGTGGCAGATTCGGATGGATGCAGTAAATTATTAAACAGTATGCAAAAAACGTTTTGTTGGTCTAATAGTCTGCAACTTCTTCAATATTTCAATTCAATTAAAAATATTTGATCTGACAGGGACCAAGAACCTGATTGGTTTTGCCATTTTCAGTAGTGAACTGACAGAAATTTCACCTGGAAAAATTAGTGTTACTATTTTATAAGCTAGCTTCAAGTACTTTTTCTTGAAGTCCAAAGTTCTGATGTAACGTCCAAATGAAAAATTGATTTTACACATGCAAAGTAGAAATTGTAGTAAAATTATTAATTTTAAAATTTCCAAAAATAATAAAAACAGAGCTAGCAATAATTATATTATTTTATGTAATAATTAAATGAATGCGCACGCTCTGATTGGTCAATCAGCTATGGTTTATTGTGCCAGTAAACTCATGGAAATTTCACGGGTCTTCTGAATTATTATATAAAAGCAATAGACCACAAGTTTCTATGGTTTATAGGCTGATAAACCACTTGGGATGTTGGAAGAACACTCGAAGAATTCGTAAATCACTCGCCTGTGGCTCGTGAGGTATGAATTCTTCCAGTGTTCTTCCAACACACGGCATGGTTTATCAGCCTATAAACCATAAAAACTTGTGGTCTATTGCTTAAATATATTATAGTATGCAAAAAAAAAGAAATATCTCGTCAGGCAAGATAGGACCTTAATGTGACACAATGATCAAGTCTATTGTGCTAACCTTTAGAGTTTAAGTGCTCTAATCTGCATTGATCAAATTTAGACATCAACACCCCCTCCCCCCCACCAGGTACATCCTGGGTGCACAATTTCATGTGCTCAGCAAGGTCACATGGGAAATTGACTCCAGTGATTGTTGGGGTGGGGCATTTGATGCCATATGAGGGGGTAAGCGAGAATGTGCCTCAAAGTCATGGCCAAGTTAGAGGTTATGTCAATATATAATACTGTACTGTTCTTTGTAACATTGTGGCTCAAAAAGAAATATCTTCAAAACCCTTTTGCTGTATTTCAAGGTGAATTAAAAGTTTTGCATCTGAAAATTTAATCACTTGACTGTATGTTAATGCAATGCTGTACAAGACTTGGTGCACAGTGGAAGTTCAAAGTGGGTCTTCATGGGTGATTTGTAAAAATTCTTTACCATAACTCATTTTTGCCATGCATGTCTTGAAGGTATGGGCATTTGTTTGCCTAGTACAACCTTAAGGTGGGGCTTTTAAATTCATACCCCAGGGGTAAATTCATATCCCAGGGGTCTCAGGGGATGGGTATTTGAACAGTAGAAAAATAATGTCAAATGCCTGTGGGTTACCTTAGAAGTGGATGTTGAAGTTTCAAGTGTAAGGGAGTTATAATGTTTTGGTTTTTTTGTCTGTTTTTGTTTTTGTTTTTGTTTTTGTTTTTTTTCAGGCTGGAAACACTCCCCTTCATTACGCTGCAAGCTCTGGACTATATCAATGTGTTCAAGTATGTACCACAGTGGTTACTTTGCTAGTAGTCTCTTCCTTTCCCCATAGCTGGCTAGTAGGTAGGCTCAATTTCTGCTGCTCTCTGGGGTGTAGCCATAGAGGGTAAGTGCAGGCTCATTTCCCAAAACAGCAGCTGGTAATTGAGCCCAGCCAGTAAGCAGCAACTGACTTGATGCAAAAACAAAGCAACCAATCTTCTTCCTCTCTCCCCATGCTTCATTTTTGTTGTTGTTTGCATAGTTATTACATTTCCACTGATAAAGAGAATTCAAAAATTTAATAAGAATGACCGTTCACTGTCTAGTATTTTAGAGTAACATTGAGGGTGCTGAGAAGAACAACTTGTCAGCATTTATTTGTTGGGGTGAAAAATGGTTAAATCTAAGATTCACCAAGACCCTGAGCACCTTGTTTGATTTTAGCCAGGAGAAGGGGGGGGGGGAGTTCTGTAAATCTTTTGGTGCGGCTGCAGGACACTGAAGCCCTTACCCTATACTAGGCCATGATCAGCTTGTTTTGGAACCCTATTCTAGACTAGGCACCAAAACCTCCTACTCTATCCCAGACTAGCAGAAACTTTATCACTATCATAGTCCAACATACTGTACGCTAACTGAACCAACATCTTACAAAGTCACTTGCAAGTTGAATTTATTCCAAGGTAAAAGTGGTGCAAGCAGAACTTGAGAGGATGGCTTTCTTTCCAGTTCTCTTTGTACAGCAGTTCCCCTTCAGGGCTGTCATTAAGTGCTGTATATGCTTGATTTTTCCTTAATGTTTAGGGAATATGAAATTGCCTGTTATTGATAGAATTCACCCACAAAGTAACAAGCTTGTTTCGGGTGCAGAGAACAAGGCTACAGGTGACTGAAAACTTACTGACAGCCCTGTCCTTAGCGTGGTTGGTTCCTTTATTCAACAGATTTCACATTAAGAAAGTTTGGTCAATTTGCAGTCTAATATTCTTGCTGTTCTCTTTTTTCTGAAAGCTGTTGGTTGCCAATGGAGCGTCACTTTATGAAGAGAACAGAGATGGTGAAACAGCTTGTGATTGTGCAATAAAAAGGGGATTTAACTCCATCGCTTCTTTTCTGGAGTCAAGGATGGTTTTCTCAGTAAGTGTATTCATCTGTATAGGAAGTCTACTAACAGCTGATTCTTCTGCTTGTAACCATGAGACATAACAGTCCCCAACCAGGGGTTTCATTAGCATTTTCAGCAAGAGGCAACTGCATAAATTTAGTTTTTAATTTACTGGTAGGCGAAAGCTTTTCATAAAAGTGAACTTCGTGATAATAAAAACCTTTCCTCCAGATGGTCAAACCAACCGGGCAAAGTCATCCTCACAGCCCATCAATTTGCCTGGTGCCCATCCGTTAATGAAACCCCTGCCCAACAGTCTTCATGGATATAGCCAAGAGAAAAATAGTGTTCAATGAAGGCTAAGTCTTTGCGTCATTGATGCGAAAAATTATCTTTTGACACAAAATGAAATTATTTAAGGAGTCGTACTGATGCAAAAAAGGGCAAAAAAGGAAATAAAAGTTACCTCACATATACATGTAAGTGCTTCCAAAGCAGTGTGCGGTAACTAAAAAAAGTATGACTAATAGTCAGGCTTATTAGCCTGAAATGAGGGAGGGAAGTGACTGGCATTTCAAACTCTGTGCTCATGAGTACTTTTTTGTGTCAGGCATTCCAGGTAATTCTTAGAGTGGCTGGAGCCCATATTTCAATGTTCTGCAACAGTTCCATTCCCAGTAATGTTTTTACCAAATTACTGCTTGGTTTGTTCTTCTTTTTAAATTTATCACGAAATGACAACAAAAGCTTACTTGTTTTGGAAAAGAGAAGGGCTGCTGAAAATGATGATTGAGAAGCTTCAACAAGGAGCACAACAGTAATGGGAATGGTAATCGTTTGGTCAAGTGTCAAGTGGGACATATGACCCACTTTGACATTTTTCAAGATTGACCACTGAAAAAATTAAGCAGGCTTACATGTATTAACAATCTTAGCTGACTTTTCTGCCCTGGGCAACTTCATTTGTGAGCAGGACCTCTTAAGAGGTCATCTGACACATTGATTTTTAAAACAACACTCAATAGCTTGGTGTCCCTCCCAGAGGAGTACAGCTGTAGTCCTGTTATCCATGACTTCGCTCAGTGACTGGTTGTTGCTTTAAATAACTCTAATGTGCTGAATCATATCTTATGGCAAATATATACAGTGGAACCCCGCCTTACGGCCACCCCGTTAAAACGGCCACCTTGTTATTACGGCCACTTTCTTCTGGCCCGAAGAAAAGCTCAGTCAATCATTTTCTTATTTAAAGAACCCCTTTAATGCAGCCTCCTTGTTAATATGGCCAGATTTTTGTGGCCCGTTGGTGACCGGATTAATGGAGTTCCAATGTATAATTATCAGCTTTCAATTAAAACTTTAAATCATTAACTTGCAGTATTACTGTGTTGAAATAAGTAAAAGTATTCTTTTAATCATTTTGGATGTTGTTTTGCAGGAATCTCCAAGTGCCAATGCAATAGAGGAGCCATTTCTTTTCAGCAAAGATGATGAGGTACCATATGTTATAAATAAAAAGTTTGCTTTCAATGAGAAAATAGTGTTATCCACCACTGTAAAAGTTGTGTTTGCCCTGTACAGCTGGGGAGTAGTGGGCAAGATAGAATTATAAATAAGTGAATAAAGTGATTTTCTTTGTTCCCTGATAATTTTGTTGATAGCAGAGCTCCTGCTGGGCAAGTGAAGCCCCATAACGTGGAAAATTTGGTAACTCATCGAGCTAAAAAATTGTGGTTGTCATGTGATTGTCCATACGTCCATATAATATACATCTGAACAACACTTGTACTGCGTGTGTGTGAACGGAGCGTCATACCTTAAAAAAATAAAAGAGAGTAGCACCATAACCATAGGTACATCTTTGATATTGGACATCCATGTTATGGTCAATTGGCAGCTGTCATTTCAACAAGGTATCCACTGACCAGTATCATGTGACCATATCAGGGTTAGAGCTCATTGAGGTCACATGTTTTGTTGACTGCTTTCCAGGTAACATTGGATTGCAATTTCAAGCCCCTCTGAGGGAGAGGGTTGACATACAAAGGCAAAATTTTGGCGCAAATTAACCCCTGGCATGTTGTTGACTTTTCTTCCGAGATATTCCTTGCACAATCTCCTCTTGGAAAGTCCCTGATAAAATTAGGTGTGTCTAATTTGATAGTTCCTTCTTTGTTGAGTTTTTAATTGGAAAAAATTGTGAAACCACACGCCAAACAATAAAAATAAAAAATCGGTCTTTTTTGTTACCTAATCCAAGAAAAACAATATTATCTTTTTTTCCCTTAATTTATGGCTACCTTATTGCAATTAGGACATTTGCCTTTAGGCTTGGCTAAATCTATATAAATATTATCTGATTTTCAGAAGCAGTACCGAGGTCTATGTGCTCAGGATCTTCAAGAGGCAAAGGACTTGATGCTTGTAGAAACTGCTGACATGCTCAGGGTAATTATAAGCATTCATCATTGGAATTACAGCAGTACCTGTGTATCATTCCCTTTGTTTCAATGAGAGTAAAGAGTTATGGTATTTTGCTCTTTTCTGTGTTGTCAACAATGGCATTCTCTTGCCTTCCCATGCCCTGCTCCTTCCCTACTTTTTCATGTGCCGTTTTTGGCACTGCACCCTAACTTACTGAAATCCTGTAAGAGGCTTCCAGAGTGCTTGCCGTAATTCAGATGTATTACTTAATTAAGGCTTCACCTGTTTTACGTAGGTCCCTCTGTTTACTGCTGAAGGGCTGCTACGAAATCATGGTAAGTATACGGCAAATTGTGAGTCTTCGGAAATTACATGAATGTCATTCATGTATACATTCAGGTCGTCTTTAAAAATCCTAGTATTCTCAGGATAAAAATTGGACACCTTTGACTACCTAGGAACAGATTGGCAGGTATAAGACATATTCTCACAGGATTTGGCTTTGCCCCATGCACGCTTGGTCATGCGAGAAATTACATGTAACTCTGTGATTGAAGTAGAAAACTCAAGCTAGCCATCTAATAAATTGTTGATTAATCAATTCTCAACCCATAATTCTGTCAGTGGTGGCTGTTTTTGCCAAGTATAGTTAAAAGATAACTGAAGGTTGCAATGAATCAGTTTCATTCATTTAACAATTTTGGTGAAATACATGTACAGTACCATTCAAAAGTAAGTTACCACCTCTCGTCTCGTTTCTCGCAAGACAAGTCTTGTTTCTCTCAAGACGTTTCTTGTTTCTCACGAGACATGTCTCGTTTCTCTCGAGAATCACTGAAGCGTCTAGTATGGCCTATATTACGCATAAGAAACCGGTTATGTGTAACAATTGCTGCTCTGCAGTTCGTTGTCAAATCGATGGGACCGTCCAACATAAAATATCAGTCGGGAGCGGCGGCGGCACTGCTGTGTTGACTTGTAGATCATGGGTGACAAAACTCTACATGTTGTTTCATGAACACTACATTTTGATTATCAACTGTATGAATCACGTTTAGGGTTGCAAACAACCCTTGTTTTAAGATCTATACAATAAGAGAATTGATACAACTGTAAAACATATTTGTAAGCATGAGTGACTGTCGCCGACAATTCAGATACCTTCAACTTTTATCGTGTGTGTATTTACAAAAACTAAACATTAAGCAAGTCTGGCTGGAATAAAAAAAGGTTTGGCCAATGTATATGGAACAATATTGGATGCTTGAGAATTTATAATACACACATGGTACACATGCATTGCTGATGAGAACGAAAATCGTGTCTAAAGCGCTAATCAATATGATACGACACAGACGTCTTATACACAAAACAGGTTTCAAATACCGACGAATGCAAAGTATTGGTACTTCCAGTGCACTCACGAGAAAGGAGACACGTCTCGTTTCTCTCGAGACTCGTCTCATTTCTCTCGAGATGTGTCTCGTTTCTTTCGAGACGCGTCTCGCAAGAAACGAGACGTGTCTTGCAAGATGGTGGTAACTTACTTTTGAGCGGTACTGTGTGTCTTCATGATAATTCAGTGACTATCTCTCTGTTTGTCATCACTGTAGAATGGTCAAAGGAAGCTTTAATTGAAGCATGGATGGCAGATCCAGTTGCAGCTTGTGAAAAAGCAGGAGTCACTCTTCCAGAAAGTGAGTTCATTTTGTGTCATAGGCATGGTGAGCATTGTTAATCAAAAAAAAACTGACAGAGCAAGCGTCATTGCAAGTGCTGTTTTGTAACTGTCATTTAAAAAGTAGGGAAATTTTGTGGTGTTTCTTGGGCTTGGAAGGTGCAATCCAGCAATCCAAAGACCTCAGTTAGTGCAAGCAAAACAAAAGTCCTTGAAAAAGTAACTTTTCATTTCCGTGCTGTAACCAACTTACATCCTGGAAAACTTGTCAGTACTCTTTTTTTCAGTCAGCACTGTTAGGTGCATTTGGATGCTTTAAGTAAAAACATTGGCATTAGCAGAATTTGAACCCAGTGTTCTCTGAGGAGTTTTTCCATACAAAGGCTTGAAAAGGGGCTACTGTAAGGTTATTCTGCACGAGTAGACAAAACTGCTTTGCTAAACATTATAGTAAACAAATAGAGTGGAATTCCAATTTTTGGAACCCTCCATTTTCACAAGCCTCCCGATAACTTGAACCAAAAGTTGAGTCCCTCTGCACAGTGGAGTGCTGTAATTTTAACCCTGATTTCTCCAACTACCCAATTTTTCAAACCAATTTTCATTTCCCTTGGAGGTTGAAAAATCAGGATTTCACTGTATTATAAATTATAATTGTTACCCTGAAACTGGCTAATGTTGGTATTTCAATTGAACCAGATCATGTGACAGGCAATGCCGAGCTTGAAGAGAAAGCCCGACTTACAATGAAAAGCAACTTTAGATCATCTGTAAGTGTATCTAATGGTTGCATCGTTCAATAAAAACAAGGTTTAAAAAGTCTGGATACAAACCAAAGCCCTCATAGGCTAGAGGTTATCCTGGATTCTGTTGCATGAAGTGACCAGGAGTATTTCTACTCCCCCCCCNGGTTAAGTCTGCATACGAGCCAGATGGCCCAGATGGCCAGAGCTTATCCCGGTTTCTGTAGCATGAAGCGACTAGGAATATTTCTACTTCCCTCCGGATGGGATGCTAGTCCATCGCAGGTTTACCCCCAGCATTAAATTCGCTGGTACACCTGGGTGGAGACCTGGGTGGAGAGAGGCACTGTGAGTAAAGTGTCTTACCCAAGAACATAACACAATGTCCCTGAACCCAAACCGCTTGATCTGGAGATGAGCTCACTAACCATGAACCCACCATGCCTCCTCACCCCAATATTGAAACCATTTTATGGTCACCACATTTTCAACTCTTAACACACTGATGTTCACATATGAAGAAGCTAGTCATAAAAGGGGATAAGTGACAATTTTGGTTGCTTTTCTTTTTCCTTGCTCCAAATTAGCTGAATTTTTGCATGTGGTCTTCAATGTAATAGAAAAACGTGGTNGACTTCGACTTATAACAAAGGCTTGGCTTGGTTATTATAACAAAGGATTGGCTCTGTTTATCATAACAAAGGCCCGGCTTCATTTATTTGCAGCCTCGGTGGGAAAAGGTCGTTAGGTATTTTAATCAAAAGTGAACTTTGTCGAAAACGCTCCAAATTTCGCATAGAGTTTTGTTTAGGTATGTTTACCAATGTCCCATAGTTTTTCCGCTAAACTTTGCTTCGTTTTCAGGATATTGCGCATGCAAAAAACCACTCGGTTTTCCTAGCGGCGTCTTTATAAAGTGAAGCAAAACCCAGCGGCAAAAATACAGGAACACGTTTTTCTATTACATTGAAGACCACATGCAAAAATTCAGCTAATTTTGGAGCAAGAAAAAAGAAAAGCAACCAAAATCGTCACTTATCCCCTTTTATGACTAGCTTCTTCATATTTTCGAAAATATATGAATTACATATTTGCAGTCTCCTTTACATTTCTTTTATGTTTGTTCTGAGAATCCAGTAGAAAATAAAGATGATATTTCCCAGTTGTCATTGTTTTAAATTCTGATTAGTTTAGTCTGCAAGTTGATACAGGGCTCAAAAAAAGTGCTGTCCCGTCATTCGGGACAAGTAGTTTTCCTACCTGGCAAGTGACTTTTCATTGTTACTTGCCCAATGGGCAAAGGCCCAGACAAGTTTTGTGCCAACTAAAAAACCAAAAAAGTAAATTAAGACTTGCCAGGAGTGGACAAGGAAAATGTGAGAGCTGCTTGTCGGAAGGCAAAATTGAATTTGAGTTTTTTTTTTCAGCCCCATAATGTTAAGCCATCTTTATATTTGTAGGATGTTTGTTCCATCTGTGAGGATAGAATAGTCTATGAAGATGTTCCACTGTCACTTTCTTGTGGCCATGAATTCTGCCGTCCCTGCTGGGAGGGGTAAGCAAGATTGCATTTTGAATAATTATGTGATATTACTGTTGATTGTTGAGTAGTCTCTTATAGTCTCAACAGCATGTCATTGTCTGTTGTGTGACTGTTATTGTCTGTTGTGTGACAGTTATTTGAATGTAAAGATCAAGGAAGGCAAAGCTCACAACATACAGTGTCCTGCATTTGATTGTAGTTCTCTTGTGCCTGTGGTAAGTGAACAAGCACTTACATGTTAGAGTCGACTTGAGCTATTTTAAATTAAAGACCAGTATTCTGTCAGGTTTCTCCAACAAGTCACCAGCACCCATTTATACTTGTGGGTGGAGAGGCAATGGAAGAGTAAATAAGTACCCTGCCTTAGAAGACGATGTGGTGACCTTCATGGGGCTCCAAAACACAGGATACATTTTGTTGAAGCTTGAATGTTTTGCCCTTGCTTAGCCTGTGATGCGATCTACCCCTTAAGCCATTTCTGAATTACCTTGTACCTCTGTTTCAAAACAAGTCCTCCTGCAAAACTTTTCATGACAAAATAAGTTTGATGTACAAGAGAATGCTTGTAGACAAAACACATTTTCATATGAAAGGTTTCACACAAAGACTCATTTTGACACAGAAGCAAAAAGGAAACTTGAAAATGGCCTTTTGAATTTGGGTAAAAAAAAGAATTGAAAACAGAATTAAAATACAAGATAATGCTTGATCAAATTTTATTAATGTTGGGTTCAAAAGGTTGCTTTGGTTGAGAAGCATTCCCACTGTCAGTTGTGTAATCATGCATGTAGCTTCATGTCACTTATTACCTCCTAGTGAAATACAGTTAATAACTTATTATTTTTGATAATTTACTATTACATGTAGTCATTTTTCTTAAGGTCTGGATGTAGTCCAGTTCATGTGACAATTTTCTAGTTGTCCTTTAACTTAGGAAACTATTGAAAGTCTTGTCTCAAGAGAGATGGCCAGAAGGTATCTTCAGTTTGATATCAAGGTAAAAAGCTGCACGAAGTAAATGTTAACATTAATGTAAGAAATATTTTCAAATAGTCCAGCCAGACAATTACCGATGAAAAATCGAAGATCTCAAGATTCAAGCGAAGATTTAAAACTTCAAATGATAAGATGGAATATTGGCCAATATTAAATGATAATTAAAGTAAAAAATACAATGCACAATTTTAATTTCCCTTGTTATTGTTTAAGCAGCCATTTTTTTGCTTTTCATGAATTTAAATACAGTTATTTATTTACTTTTTGACTGTGAATTAGATTGACTACACTCTCAGGCAATGATTTTAATCCATAAAACGAAGATCTGTGTAAAAAAATCAAAGATTGGTAAAAAAAAAAGTGCAATAAAAATGAAGTCTCGGGGTACCCATAGAGAGGCTCTATTTTACATGTTTTCTCTAGCGCTCGGCCTGTATTTTCCTGAGTATGTATGTATCAAGCCAAAAAATAAAAAGGTTGCACTACACAACACTGATATTAGAAACTGGAAAGAAGAGAATTGACTGCAAAGTAATTATTTGGAGTGCCAGAAATCGACTCAGATATTTCCTTAAGAGTGTTAGCCATGGAGGGAATGGGTGAACATTCAAGGCAAAGAAAAGTTCTTTGAACTCTCTGAAATTAAAACCTGCGATCTCTGGATTAGATTACCATTGCTCTATCCTGCTAGGCCAGCTCACAGGAATAGGCCATGGTAAAATTCTATGGTGCTAATTTGTAGAAAAAAGTAAAAAATCATCTTAAATTTGCCAATGTACATATCAAAAGAAAGTATTTATCTAATAAAATACTTTTTTCCAGGCCTTTGTTGATAGTAACCCTACACTGAAATGGTGCCCTTCCCCCGGATGTGGCCGCGCTGTAAGGCTACCATCAAGTATGCTTCCCTCACTGCATGTTGCTGTTGAAGCACGTTCTTCAGAGGAAACAGAACCTATGATCGTAGACTGTGGCCATGGACATTTCTTTTGTTGGTAGGTCCTTACCAGAGGTGGTAAAATAATGGTCCTTCATAAAATAATTTATAATTCTGCCTCTTGCAGAATTTTGGTCAAATTTCACTGATCCTGTAAAATTGACTCTGGGCCATTGTTTCCAGTTCTTGGAAACACTGAACTCTTGTAGTAAAGTCTGCATACGAGCCAATCAGGACAGAGCTTATCCTGGTTCCTGTGGCATGAAGTGACTAGGAGTATTTCTACTCCCCCACTGCTTGGGATACTAGTCCATTGCAGGGTTACCCCCAGCATTAAATTTGCTTGCACCCATTTAGACACCTGGGTGGAGAGAGACACTGTTAGAGTGAACTGTCTTGCCCAAGAACACAACACAGTGTCCCCGTCCAGGGCTCAAATCTGGACTGCTTGATCTGGAGTCGAGCACTCTAACAATGAGGCTATCACCCCTCCATACTCGCACAGTGCACAGTGGATAAGTGTTGGCAAAACATATAGCTATTCACAATCTATAAATAGTGATTATCTGGTGGATAGCATTTTCCATTCTGCTTTCAGCAACCAGTGTCAGGTGTATGAATACAGGTAGCACCAAAATGTAGAGCAAGATAACAAAATGTTGGGAGTAATCACGGATGGATCAGAATCCAACTTTATTTGAAAGAAATTGTTAATAATTATTATATTATGTATTTTTTTTAATTTGAAGGCATTGTCTAGATGAAGCCCATGCACCTTGCACTTGTCAACTGTGGAGTAAATGGCTGAAAAAAATTGCAGAAATGATGCCAAAGATACCAACAATGCGAGGTGAACACAAGCAGTGATTTTTAGCTTCCTGTTTACAGGGTGTACATGTACATTTGACTGCCATTTTCCATTACTATTAGCACACTCAAATTGACAACAAAAGCCTGGTCTACTGTCCTGATACCCTGCGATATCAGGTCCTCGGGGGATTCCTACATAAAAACTACGAGGATGCTTGTCGTAGCTTGGTACTTCTTAGGGTGTTCAGCCTCAAAAGGTCCACAGGGGTAGCTTTTGCAGTACCTTTCAGTCATGGTTAGCACATTTTGAAAAATTTAGCCGTTTGCAATCTGTGTCAATCTTTGCCATCCTTGACCATCCTTGTTCCGTTATGGTTTATTATTATCTCTTTGATGTTTTTCTGTCATAGTAAACTATTATTTTGAGCTAAAAAAAATAAGACAGGAAATGATCTGTTGGTTCAGAATTGGTACCTCTTAGGGGTGAAAAAAATTTAAGCCACGCCCACAAAAAAGGATCTTGATACCTCTTATTGGTTCTTTTCAAAATTTACAATGAGTAACCCCCTTCTTTTAATAAAGGAGTTTTCCCTGGGATCAGGTCTTTGATCTGATATTAAATTGCACCATGCATGACAGCTCGTAAGATCACCTTTTTTGTTTGAAGTGGTCAAGTTCAAAATGTCTCTATTGTTACTGTTGTTACAGTGGAAAAGTCAAGTTGAGTTAGATCTTGAGTTCTGACTAATTCTCTTTTTACAGACATTTCCGAATGCCCTGAAACAGAAACAGTAGCTAACACACTCTGGCTGGTAACTAATTCAAAATCCTGTCCCAACTGCAAGTGAGTTTTCTGTCTTTTTTTGTCTTTAGCTAGTGTAGGGTGCGAGTGACAGCTAGTGAATTTCAGGGCTTGTTGCATGACACATGATAAAATTGATATCTATGCAAACTTCTTCATTTTGTAAAAATCAGTGTTTGATAATTTATTTTTTATATGTGTGTTATTAACCAAGCGTAAGGTCAAGATGGCTAGATATTGGACAATTTTTAAATTGTTCAATGGCTGTAATCTCCCTTGTTGAACAATTCTGTCCTAATGTCTTCACCTGGATGTACTAGTTGAATTTTGTACACCTCGGTGAAAGTACAAATTTAATCATAACTTGAGTACTACTTTGACCTCAAATGCAGCTACAATACATACACTTGGTAGTCATATTGAAGGGTTCCTAAGGCAGGGTTCAACAAAACCACTAATTTCAAAGCTTTGAGGCAACCCTTGAGGGGGTTGGGGGAGAGAACTGTTCTGGAACTTCTAGTGTGGGTCTTGAAGCAGAAAAACATCTGAAAGCGGCAAAAATCACAATTACATGACAAGTCATCATTCATGATTTAAGTGAACATGCTCTCAGGGGTTTCATTAACATTTTCAGCAGGAGAGCAACTGGTTTTTACAGGCGGGAAAAACTATTTAATCTGAACTTCTTTATAAGGAAAACTTTCCTCTAGATGGTCAAACCAGCCGGGCAAAATCATCGTCACAGCCAGTCAATTTGCCAGGTGCTTTTCCCTTAATGAAACCCCTGTGTACTGCTACAGAGATTTGCTACATAGGGGGCAGAACTGCTCTGAAACTTCTGGTGTGGCATGCAAACAGAGAGGAAGGTGTAAATACATGTACAGCACAGACAACAATGAAAATATATCATCATCGTCATCATGTCCTTTTCCCTACAAGGGAAATAGGGCCTTGCGTTCTTGCTCACCAAGCTTCTCGGTTCTTAGCACATTTACCAGCTTCCAGCCAGCTTTTGAATCCGAACTTCCCCCTTTCTCTCTCTACAGTTCATCTCCAAGTTTCCCTAGCCCTTCCTCTCCAAAGTCTTCCTTCCGAGGTCCAAGTTACTTTTGGCGCTACAATAAAATAAAAACAGTATAAAATGTTGCAATCCTTCGTTAAGCAGAACGTCTCTGTCATTTTGACTGTTCTGTAATAACTTGCAAAGAAGTTTTAAGTCGGTCTTAAACTGATAAGAAAATTCTTCCCTTTCAGATCACCTATTCAGAAAAACGAAGGATGTAACCATATGAAATGTACAAAGGTATTTATTTTTATAAGGGAACACCGCCCAACTGATTAAGGACAATTCCCATTTACTAATGCCCATATTGTGTTGTCAAATGCGAGCAAATGTACAAATGAATTGGATAAAAAGATTCTACAGAGCACAATGGAACACAAAGATGCACAGGATTACAATGGTCGAAGTGGGTCGCAGTTCATCAAGTTTGATTTCTTGATATCCTGTTGAGAAATCAAAATTGCTATGCTTCTGCTGAAATTTCTTCATCCTTCAGTAATTTAATTTTTATTTCCTTGTACATGTACTGCATGGAGATGTTTGCTTTCTTTCACTGACCACTTTTGTTGTTGTTGTTTTTTGTTTTCTGTTGCAACAAAGTAAAGCAAGCTTTTAGCCAGTTTATAACTGCCATATATATTAAAACAAGAAAAAATGTGATTATATTAGTCAACAGTCCATAAACTTGCATAAAAAGAAGTCAACCAATATTTCCCCAACATGGACCTAACAAGCTAGTTCGATCAATAAAGTGCTTAATAGTATTATAACGATTAATTATTGTATCCCTGTGATCCATTCTTTGTAAATGCCCACACCAAAGTTAAGAATTTATTTTATTTGTTTTTCAAGTTCCCTTGCTTTCATTAAAGTTAGACTGAAATAGTTATAATAATTGTCTGCCAAACGTGAAGGAAAAAAGATTTTGGCAGGCGTAAGAGCAAACTGTTTTTTCTTTTTTTAGTGTTTTGAAAAAGCTAGTTGTGAAAACTTATTAGTTAGTAACCCATCTTAGCGGTCTGTTTAGCAAAATTTGGATTGCTTATAAAAATAATCAGAATTCTTCCTATAATTACAGACTGGTTTGCCATACTAAAATAATAAATATATGGGTCATTGACCAAGCACGATGTCAAGATGGCTAGATATTGGCCAAGTCCTTGTTTTGCATGTTTATGACCTTGACTCTGTCTCGGTCCATAAACACACACACAAAAAAAGAACGAGGCTAACATCCAGCTATCTTGACCGGACAAGCTTGGTCAATAAAGGATTTATTATATGGAAAAAGAACATGTACTTTCTTGCGGGACACAGCAGGTAATCCCGAGCGGGGAAGATAGCGCAGTCTTGCCCGCTCAGGTAGCCAATCACAGTGCATGATTTGGTTTATCTTGCACGCTCATGGAGCAAGCCATATTGACGCGAGCAGCGTTGTCTGGACTCTTATCAACGATGGCAAACTAACCAATGAAATTGCGAGATTAGTAGCAATTGTGGTAAAAATAATATGTGATGTTGTTTGTCTCTTTTTAGTGTAAACATGAGTTCTGCTGGGTTTGTTTAGAGCAATGGAAAAAGCACAGTTCTGCTACTGGAGGATATTTTCGGTTGGTAGAAAAATAAATGCACTTTATTTATTATGAGAATTTACAAGTTGTTGATATTTGGGAGAATTTCCCAGCACCTGTGCTGACCTCATTTGTACTTGGATCACATTGTGTAGTCGTGTAGTAACCAAAACAAAGGCAGGTCAAGGTGGACTGGTACGAGATGCTTTGGTTTGGAAGTCCCAGTGTGCAACTTGCGTCCCAGCATGTGTGATTTTGTACCTTGTGACTGGATCGTGCAAAGGACCTATTGACAATAATGTTAATTTAAATTTGAAAAGTTACTCCTTTTTACTTCTGACTGAGGCAGAGGGAAGTAATGCCTGTGGCAATGCCCATGGTTAAATTCTCATCCTAACTGTTTGGGGTATTTATGATTACTATGAATAACAAGAACGAAAAAAAAAACTGAGACAAGTGCTTTGGTTTACCTCTTAATAGCTACGGCCCTGAGCTAAAGCAAAGTAAGTTTGTAAAACTAAGTTACAACTTTTATTTTATAAGTGCCTTTGACTTGCAGGTGTAATCGATTTGAGATTGTACAGAAAGTTGAATCAGAGTCTGCCAAGTTAGTTTCGGAGGTGATTATGTTTTGTTACTTGTTCCACGTTGCTGTGGCCTCATGGTTAGTGTGTTCAACTCTGGATCAAGCGGTCCAGGTTCGAGTCCTGGCCAGGGACATTGTGTTGTGTTCTTGGGCAAGATACTTTACTCTCACAGTGCCTCTCTCCACCCAGGAGTATAAATTGGTACCGGTGAATTTAATGCTGGGGGGATAACCCTGTGATGGACTAGCCTCCCATCTAGGGGGGAGTAGAAATACCCCTAGTGACTTTATACTATATAAACCAGGATAAGCTCCGGCCTGATGGGCCCCTTGGCTCGTATGCAGACTTTACCCTACCTTTATCTACTTGTTCCTCGTAGCAGATGCTTCATTTAACATATCATTTCTCATTTTATGGGAATTACCTCTATGATGGCTTGGAAGTTAGTCTCACTTTCTGTTGGAATTGGCAATGATCATACTTTCATGGTTACAATATTATTAATGAATTAATATATGTTATGGTGCGGCTACTGGAACCAGGCCATCTAGAAGAAAACTAACCAATCAAAATGTAAACTGAGAACAATGGACTGGTAGCTTCTCGTAGCGGCAAGTAACAGTGTGTTTGAAGTAAAAACTTACCACTCTAAGCGATTCAGTCCTTGACGGCAAATTATCATAATTATAAATCTTGCTCTTAAAAAAGATTTAGCTTGAAAACTCATTCTGCGCAACTAAACCGAAACTGTTGAAAAGTGTACCAAACTTAGGATTGAAACTAACCAATCAGCAAATGACATAGTTTCCTGAAAGGTTAGCAACAATTCGCATTTTGTCGTAATTCCTATTCTTCAATGTTATTGTTTTATTTCTGGAAAAGATCACTTTGATTGGTTAACTCTTCTCCCTGTGGCCCAAGTCGAGTAGCTGCACTGTAATTAAAATCCTTTTTCTTGAATTCTCTAATCAACAGGCTAGTGCACGCAATGATCAAATCACAGAGTTAAATTGTTTTCTACATTACTACTCTCGCTTCAAGAATCATGAAAATAGTTACAAGGTAAACAGCGTTTTTTATTGTGCAGCTCCAGAAAATATCCATACTCCTTCAACAGAAGAGATTGGAATTTCCTGTGTAATGGGTATATATATAAAATCCCTTCCATAGAAGAGGTATGGATATTTTCTTGAACTACACCTTACATGTCGGATTTGGGGGGGCGGGGTGGGGAGCTGAAGATATAAGGACTCACAGGGGATGAGAGGGAAGGCAAATAAGTGGAGGTGAATAACTTAATAATATACCATAAAATTCTGTTAACAAGTTGTGGGCTTATATTTGTTCAAAATGAGCTTATTTTGGGGGTAGATTCTTTATATAAGTATTTCAAAACTGGATAGATTAATACTAGCAAGAAATGTGCATTGGAGAAATGTTAGGGGCATGCAAGAATACCACTTTGTAAGACTGTCGAAACAATGCAATATGATATGTGGTGTTAAATGGATATCACAAGTCCTGAATTATACTGTAACAAGGAACATAAAGTACAAAGCAAGGTCCAATAGGGGTAATGGTGAGAGATTGTCTGTCTTAAAGAGTTAAAGCTCATGGGTTGGCATGTATAAGAGATTCTTATTGGAAGGATGTTTGTGTCTGAGATTCGGGCAGCTTATTTTTTGTGGACTGGTGGGGGGCGAGTCTTTTGTCATTGGAAAATTGATCTTCATTAAGTCTGTGTTTCATGTAATTAGACCTTGGCTTTTTCTTCCAGTTTTTATTTTATTTTATTTTATTATTATTAACAATATCTAAGTTACCTTTACAATACGTACAAGTAGTACTTACAATACACTAGAATACAACAAAAGAAAGGAAGAATACCGTTATATTCACAACTTTAACTTGGGAAGAAGTTGCGTTATATTCTACTAAGTACTAAGAAAAGTAATATACAGCTCTAAGTTAGAAACTTCCTGTTAAGGTTTCCATTTATTGTAGTAACGTTCAGGTGAATTAGTCCTTGTTGATATTTGTTTTTCGATTTCGGCCTTGTTTATCACTTTTCTTTATCTTCTTTATCAAACTTCCAGTTTGAGGAACCTCTTTTAAGTACAGCTAAAGATAAGATGACAGCACTGGCCGTTGCCGCCATGGAAACAGGTCAGTGTTAAATTGCCGGTTGTAAGTAAAGTGAATAAATTATCTTAATTTGTTTCAATAATTTATCTTAATTTATTTGAATAAATTGTCCTAATTCATTTTGTGTCTGCAGCAGCGACATCAGCAGAAAATGTAGACACGTCATTCATTGAAGACGCTGTGCATGAATTGCTGAATGCAAGAAGAGTTCTGAGAGCTTCGTATGCTCATGGGTTCTACCTTACTGGCAACAAAGACAAGAAAGCCATCTTTGAGTCAATGCAGGTAGATTTTCTTTCTGAAGATAGCTAAATGGTCGTGTACTTTAGTATTTGCAATCAATGTTTAGTGACCGCCTTGAAATCTCTAGCTATTTACTAGGGGACTCTGAAGGCTAGCTGGCTTTGCCATTCCCTTCGTAACAAGTTTGTTATGAAAGGTTTCACCTCCAATTGTGCAGTTCTTCAGAACGATGATTTATCCGTTAACCTCTTACTAACTTTAAATCCAGCTGCGGCGGTTTCTTTAATACTCCCCATACGTGGCCACATGCATGGCCTTCATGGAAACCACGCATTTTTTTATTTAAGAAACAGAAAGCATATTCTCTGTGTATCTATCGAGTTTTAGTATAAATCCACTAGCTTTCTATCACGAATGCCGTTCTCTGATTGGCTACGCTACTCATTATCCAATCTGTTGTTGGTAGTTTGTTGACAAACTGGCGCCCGCTTTTTTTGCATTTTCAAACGTCTGTAAAGAGGATTTAGATATAGTTTTGAACAGCTAGTAGACTCACACTAAAACAATTAGATTATTCACTCTCGAATTTTGTGCGTGATAGTTGACTTGGGCTGCGCCCTCGGCAACTGTCATGCGATAGAAATCTCGAGCTCGTAATCTACTTGCTAAATAGGAACACGATTTTAATCCAATCAGCGTGCGTATTTTCTTTGGGCTATTTTCTAATGCATTTTATTAACTTGATTATATTGTAATTTGAAATAAGACTGAAGTAGAGGAAGCGACGGAGACCCTATCACAAATGGTGGCTCGACCGTACTTAAGAACCCCCCGTGCACAGATTATCCAAACCACGCAACTTCTACATAGGAAACGAGAAGATTTCTTGTTAGCTTTGTCTCGCGGTCTCATCCCTGAAGACGACATGCTACCAGAGCCCAGGAGCTTTGTGCCTAGGTGGGAATTTCTTCAAGTTGTTATTNTGTTTTACTGTGCTCCTGAGAAAACAATTTTGATTTCCAGGGTAAAGGTGGTCTCTTTCGTAACTCGCACCGACGTAACGCAACGCTCCCCGTTCGGGGATCGTTGCGTGACCCCAGACGGGGAGCATTTCATGTCTCCAGCGTGAGCGGCTGCGGAGGAGACCAGGGTAAAGGTGGCCTCATTTTCTGATTGAGTCTTGTTTTTTACACTAATTTAGGACGCCAACGCAAGAGTCAGCCTGAAATTGAGGAGGAAATTGATATTGATTTCATGAGAGCAATTGAGCTGTCGTTACTACAACACAGCACACCAGCCAATCAGAGGAGCCGTCAATCAAGCTCATCTAGCAGCTCGGCAAGTTTAAACAGAGATCAGGCTCTAAGTGCGCAGACGCCGCAAGACTTGGCAGTCTTCTCCGTTGTCGACGGTGCCTCTCTTCAGAAAGCTATAGAGTTATCACTGCAAGATTCTACTGCAGGAGGTAGTGATTTTTTTTTTGTTCCAACGCACTTCTACTTTGAGTGGTAACTTCTTATTGAATTATCACATTCAGTCACGTTCAACTTGTGTAGCATCATCATTTGAATGGTCACACACTATGGTTTCATCCACAGACTTAAAAGTTAGAACCACATTAATTTTCTCAAGGTTAACGTAGATGTTGATTTCTACATTTTCAGAAGTGTCTTCTACTCCAGACGATGATCTTCAAAAAGCCATCAAACTATCACTGCAGGACAGTGGCCTTCCCTNTTGCATAAAAAGAAGTCAACCAATATTTCCCCAACATGGACCTAACAAGCTAGTTCGATCAATAAAGTGCTTAATAGTATTATAACGATTAATTATTGTATCCCTGTGATCCATTCTTTGTAAATGCCCACACCAAAGTTAAGAATTTATTTTATTTGTTTTTCAAGTTCCCTTGCTTTCATTAAAGTTAGACTGAAATAGTTATAATAATTGTCTGCCAAACGTGAAGGAAAAAAGATTTTGGCAGGCGTAAGAGCAAACTGTTTTTTCTTTTTTTAGTGTTTTGAAAAAGCTAGTTGTGAAAACTTATTAGTTAGTAACCCATCTTAGCGGTCTGTTTAGCAAAATTTGGATTGCTTATAAAAATAATCAGAATTCTTCCTATAATTACAGACTGGTTTGCCATATTAAAATAATAAATATATGGGTCATTGACCAAGCACGATGTCAAGATGGCTAGATATTGGCCAAGTCCTTGTTTTGCATGTTTATGACCTTGACTCTGTCTCGGTCCATAAACACACACACAAAAAAAGAACGAGGCTAACATCCAGCTATCTTGACCGGACAAGCTTGGTCAATAAAGGATTTATTATATGGAAAAAGAACATGTACTTTCTTGCGGGACACAGCAGGTAATCCCGAGCGGGGAAGATAGCGCAGTCTTGCCCGCTCAGGTAGCCAATCACAGTGCATGATTTGGTTTATCTTGCACGCTCATGGAGCAAGCCATATTGACGCGAGCAGCGTTGTCTGGACTCTTATCAACGATGGCAAACTAACCAATGAAATTGCGAGATTAGTAGCAATTGTGGTAAAAATAATATGTGATGTTGTTTGTCTCTTTTTAGTGTAAACATGAGTTCTGCTGGGTTTGTTTAGAGCAATGGAAAAAGCACAGTTCTGCTACTGGAGGATATTTTCGGTTGGTAGAAAAATAAATGCACTTTATTTATTATGAGAATTTACAAGTTGTTGATATTTGGGAGAATTTCCCAGCACCTGTGCTGACCTCATTTGTACTTGGATCACATTGTGTAGTCGTGTAGTAACCAAAACAAAGGCAGGTCAAGGTGGACTGGTACGAGATGCTTTGGTTTGGAAGTCCCAGTGTGCAACTTGCGTCCCAGCATGTGTGATTTTGTACCTTGTGACTGGATCGTGCAAAGGACCTATTGACAATAATGTTAATTTAAATTTGAAAAGTTACTCCTTTTTACTTCTGACTGAGGCAGAGGGAAGTAATGCCTGTGGCAATGCCCATGGTTAAATTCTCATCCTAACTGTTTGGGGTATTTATGATTACTATGAATAACAAGAACGAAAAAAAAAACTGAGACAAGTGCTTTGGTTTACCTCTTAATAGCTACGGCCCTGAGCTAAAGCAAAGTAAGTTTGTAAAACTAAGTTACAACTTTTATTTTATAAGTGCCTTTGACTTGCAGGTGTAATCGATTTGAGATTGTACAGAAAGTTGAATCAGAGTCTGCCAAGTTAGTTTCGGAGGTGATTATGTTTTGTTACTTGTTCCACGTTGCTGTGGCCTCATGGTTAGTGTGTTCAACTCTGGATCAAGCGGTCCAGGTTCGAGTCCTGGCCAGGGACATTGTGTTGTGTTCTTGGGCAAGATACTTTACTCTCACAGTGCCTCTCTCCACCCAGGAGTATAAATTGGTACCGGTGAATTTAATGCTGGGGGGATAACCCTGTGATGGACTAGCCTCCCATCTAGGGGGGAGTAGAAATACCCCTAGTGACTTTATACTATATAAACCAGGATAAGCTCCGGCCTGATGGGCCCCTTGGCTCGTATGCAGACTTTACCCTACCTTTATCTACTTGTTCCTCGTAGCAGATGCTTCATTTAACATATCATTTCTCATTTTATGGGAATTACCTCTATGATGGCTTGGAAGTTAGTCTCACTTTCTGTTGGAATTGGCAATGATCATACTTTCATGGTTACAATATTATTAATGAATTAATATATGTTATGGTGCGGCTACTGGAACCAGGCCATCTAGAAGAAAACTAACCAATCAAAATGTAAACTGAGAACAATGGACTGGTAGCTTCTCGTAGCGGCAAGTAACAGTGTGTTTGAAGTAAAAACTTACCACTCTAAGCGATTCAGTCCTTGACGGCAAATTATCATAATTATAAATCTTGCTCTTAAAAAAGATTTAGCTTGAAAACTCATTCTGCGCAACTAAACCGAAACTGTTGAAAAGTGTACCAAACTTAGGATTGAAACTAACCAATCAGCAAATGACATAGTTTCCTGAAAGGTTAGCAACAATTCGCATTTTGTCGTAATTCCTATTCTTCAATGTTATTGTTTTATTTCTGGAAAAGATCACTTTGATTGGTTAACTCTTCTCCCTGTGGCCCAAGTCGAGTAGCTGCACTGTAAATAAAATCCTTTTTCTTGAATTCTCTAATCAACAGGCTAGTGCACGCAATGATCAAATCACAGAGTTAAATTGTTTTCTACATTACTACTCTCGCTTCAAGAATCATGAAAATAGTTACAAGGTAAACAGCGTTTTTTATTGTGCAGCTCCAGAAAATATCCATACTCCTTCAACAGAAGAGATTGGAATTTCCTGTGTAATGGGTATATATATAAAATCCCTTCCATAGAAGAGGTATGGATATTTTCTTGAACTACACCTTACATGTCGGATTTGGGGGGGCGGGGTGGGGAGCTGAAGATATAAGGACTCACAGGGGATGAGAGGGAAGGCAAATAAGTGGAGGTGAATAACTTAATAATATACCATAAAATTCTGTTAACAAGTTGTGGGCTTATATTTGTTCAAAATGAGCTTATTTTGGGGGTAGATTCTTTATATAAGTATTTCAAAACTGGATAGATTAATACTAGCAAGAAATGTGCATTGGAGAAATGTTAGGGGCATGCAAGAATACCACTTTGTAAGACTGTCGAAACAATGCAATATGATATGTGGTGTTAAATGGATATCACAAGTCCTGAATTATACTGTAACAAGGAACATAAAGTACAAAGCAAGGTCCAATAGGGGTAATGGTGAGAGATTGTCTGTCTTAAAGAGTTAAAGCTCATGGGTTGGCATGTATAAGAGATTCTTATTGGAAGGATGTTTGTGTCTGAGATTCGGGCAGCTTATTTTTTGTGGACTGGTGGGGGGCGAGTCTTTTGTCATTGGAAAATTGATCTTCATTAAGTCTGTGTTTCATGTAATTAGACCTTGGCTTTTTCTTCCAGTTTTTATTTTATTTTATTTTATTATTATTAACAATATCTAAGTTACCTTTACAATACGTACAAGTAGTACTTACAATACACTAGAATACAACAAAAGAAAGGAAGAATACAGTTATATTCACAACTTTAACTTGGGAAGAAGTTGCGTTATATTCTACTAAGTACTAAGAAAAGTAATATACAGCTCTAAGTTAGAAACTTCCTGTTAAGGTTTCCATTTATTGTAGTAACGTTCAGGTGAATTAGTCCTTGTTGATATTTGTTTTTCGATTTCGGCCTTGTTTATCACTTTTCTTTATCTTCTTTATCAAACTTCCAGTTTGAGGAACCTCTTTTAAGTACAGCTAAAGATAAGATGACAGCACTGGCCGTTGCCGCCATGGAAACAGGTCAGTGTTAAATTGCCGGTTGTAAGTAAAGTGAATAAATTATCTTAATTTGTTTCAATAATTTATCTTAATTTATTTGAATAAATTGTCCTAATTCATTTTGTGTCTGCAGCAGCGACATCAGCAGAAAATGTAGACACGTCATTCATTGAAGACGCTGTGCATGAATTGCTGAATGCAAGAAGAGTTCTGAGAGCTTCGTATGCTCATGGGTTCTACCTTACTGGCAACAAAGACAAGAAAGCCATCTTTGAGTCAATGCAGGTAGATTTTCTTTCTGAAGATAGCTAAATGGTCGTGTACTTTAGTATTTGCAATCAATGTTTAGTGACCGCCTTGAAATCTCTAGCTATTTACTAGGGGACTCTGAAGGCTAGCTGGCTTTGCCATTCCCTTCGTAACAAGTTTGTTATGAAAGGTTTCACCTCCAATTGTGCAGTTCTTCAGAACGATGATTTATCCGTTAATCTCTTACTAACTTTAAATCCAGCTGCAGCGGTTTCTTTAGTACTCCTCATACGTGGCCACATGCATGGCCTTCATTTTGAACAACTAGTAGACTCACACTAAAGCAATTAGATTATTCACTCTCGAATTTTATGCGTGATAGTTGACTTGGGCTGCGCCCTCGGCAACTGTCATGCGATAGAAATCTCGAGCTCGTAATCTACTTGCTAAATAGGAACACGATTTTAATCCAATCAGCGTGCGTATTTTCTTTGGGCTATTTTCTAATGCATTTTATTAACTTGA